ACAGATAGATTAGATAGATAGAATAATAGATAAAAGAAGTTCTATTTCATTTTGTGAACTTCTGTGTTTGAGGACCCAAAATCACCCTGATGGACTGAAAGTGATGTGGTGCCCAGAGGGGACAGGGTAGGCCATTGGGTGGGGGACACAGGACCAGGGGCTCATGAGGCTCCTCAGACTAAAAAGATTATTTTCCCCTCCCCACGTGTGCAGGACAAATGCAGCCCTGCAGAGCCACTCAGCCGGCCCGCTGCAGAGCTAGGCCCTGCCATGTCCACTGACCATGTCAGCTCATGTCCCCATGACAGCCAAGAGCAGGACCTACAGCTCACCTTGAGGTGCTGGGGGCAGAGGGGTCTCAGCAGTGACCTGCCAAGTCTACGGTGAGAACCAAGAGCAGGGCGGGGAAGGTGGGAGAAGGCAGACACGGAGGGCAGGACCTGAGTGACACATGGCAGAACAAAGAACCTGCAGAATTAGGCAACAAAGCGCACAACCTTCCTGGGAAAGGGCAATAAATGAATCGTGTCATTTGCTGTCAACCCCCCAAATCTGCTGCCCAAATCCCTAAAGCAGGCCTGTGAAATGGAGGTGAACCAGTTTTCACCCTGCAGAACAGGGACTTCTATCAACTTGACTAACCTCACCCCTCGGAGGGAGCTTATCCCAGAGCAAAGAACCTGCTGGTTCTGCCGGTTCCCCATCTCGGGAAAGCACTTCCCCAGCTCCCGTCCCCACTCCACCCTCCCACCCCCCAAGTTTCAGCTCATCCATCAGCCTGGCTGGGGCGCCAAGAAAGTGCTCAGATCCTCAGCAGGGCCACAGGGCCACAGGGCCACACCCCACCCCTCCCTGAATCTCCAGAAACAACGGAAGCCAGGTCACTTGTGCCCGGTACAACTCACAGCTGGGGCTGGGTGTCGGGCGCCCACAGGATGCCACTTAGCAGCCCACATCTGCATCTCTGCCAGCTGTCAGTGTGCAGGCTACTGAAGGACAGCTTGCATTGGGAAAATAACCAACATCTCCACAGTTAACACCTACCAGCCCCCTCCCCTAACACCCTCCCACTCTAACCTCCCCAGCCCTGAAATTCACCACCAACCAACCCTCTGCCCTTGAATGATGGGCTTCGCCTTGGGAAAGTCAATAGCAATGAAGAAAGGCAGCATGTCTAAACCCAGGCGTCTCTCCCACAGAAGGAACCCCCAGGGCAGAGGGAGGCTTGTTCTGCGCTGCTGTGTGGTTTGTAATGGCAGAAAAACTAGAAACAACACAGGTACTGGTAACTTAAATGATATTACATCCTGCAAAGGGATATTCTGCAGCATGAAAAAAATCAAGTGTATCTATAAGTGCCAACGTTTTGAAAGCCATCCAAGACATAATGTTAAGTGGGGAAAGTGAGCCCCAGAGCTGTATGTAGAGAATGATGCCTTTACCTGCTGCTTATTCTATAGTTGATACTCACCCATCCGTTTCCCACCTTTCTCCCATCTGCTCTGTGCCCCAGGAGGCCGACCTCTAAAGATCACAAAACCAGGGCTCCCTTGCTGGCTGAATCCCAGCTGGTTAGGCCAACGGAAGGCTCTGGCTATAGAGCAGAGGATGGAACGAGAAAGAAGCGGGGTTATTTCTTCCCTGTGACCCCTCCCTGCCTGCTCTGATGGTGGCTGTGCCGCTATGGCCAGAGCTGCAGGTGCTGGGAGAGCAGGATGTAGGGCCCTCTCAGTTTTGATGTTCCCACCCCGTATCATACCAAACACGTTAAAATATACACACTTCTCACAATAAGTATAATTTTGGCTATAAACTTTTGAAGGGGGCTGTATAAATTCCATAATTCTGATCCTAGGGAGAGATCATGCATTTGGTTCATAGGATTTAGAATTTATTGCATCTCTGTGTAACTAGATCGTAGTTGAACTGAGTTGCAGGAAGCTAGTTGAAACAATGATACGTAGACAAATATTCGTTCATTACAATTCTGAGGTTTTCTTTTTATGTTTTGGAGCCAACAGACACGTGACACATTGTTAGGCCCTCTGAAAGCTCACAGGCCGTAGGCATCAAGGCCAGTGGACAAAACGGCTGGGCCGCTCCTAGGAGGGCCCCAGGTCCACACAGGAGTCAGCCCTGGGAGGCACCAAGACAAAAGAAACCGGACCAAACCCACAAGGGAAAGTCTGCTATGCTTAGGGGCTGCTTCCTGAGCAAGTACAGAGCGAGAAGCCCAGAGTGGAGGAGGAAGCTGAACCCTACAGCTTGCCCCATGAGCTGACCCCATGAGCCTGTGGCCTGACCAACCAGTCCCCCTCCATCAGCCCAGCCGAATGGATAGGATCAGAATGGCCCACCCATGGCCTCCGACCTGTTTTCTGGGCCATGCTGGGACTTGCAGCAGCCAGATGCCAGCACAGGCTGCACCTCAGCTTCCTGCTCATTCAGATAGCCAAGCACTGAGCCCAGGGGGCAAACATCTGGTCTCAGTCAATACCTCTGGCAGTGTAGGCTGGGGGCTGCTGCTGGCCCAGCCCTCCCACTCCCACTGCCACTAGACTTCTATGTAAGGCCTGGGCATGCTCTCCAGGGGCGTGGAACGTAGGTCACCAAACTGGCACCACGTGTGCACACACACTGAATGCATGGGTAGGGCCAGCAGACCTTACAGTCCAAACCCCCAGTCAGGGTTTTCCGATCCCCCAGGACCCTCCCACCCTCGGGCTATGGCTAAGGTTCTCTTGCTCCTCTCACAGGCCAGAGCCAGACACAAGGCACACCCTCTGCTCTGGAGCTTGAGGAAGGTTGGGCCCAGGGCAGCCTCTCTGGCCACTCCCCTAGCTGTGGCCAGGCTCTGCCCCTAAAACTCCAGCAACCAAGGTCACGGCTCACCCAGACCGAGGCACAGCCAATACAGAGGTGCTTTGGGTTGGAGAGCCCCTGGCAGGAGCAGTGCCAATTCACTGCTACCCCCACAGTGCTAATAACCAAGTGGCTTGTCTCCCCCCAGACAGCTTGTTATTGCACAGTGACCAGGCCACTGTCTACATGTAGCCAGAAACAGTGGCCCCCAGCCCTCATCATGTGCTAAGGCAGGCTTGACAGTTCCAGCCTGGAGCTCACAGTGCGTGGGGTTTAAGGATCTGAGGAGCAGGTGTTAGAGTCTAAGAAGCTCTGATTTTGATGAACACTTTTTGTCTGACTGTCCCACAAGGCAAGTCAGACAAAGCGCTTGCCCTGTGGCTCCCAGGCATGCAGAGAAATGCCCCTCGTCCCCGCCCCAGGGACCAGGATGGGGGAGCCTGATTTGGGACACCTGGTAGCCTCGATGCTGGGCATCCCCTCTGCGGGTCTCAGCATCGAGTCACCTACTCCGAGAGAACCACCCTGATTCCGGCACTTAAGTAGATCTCACTCTTCTTTTCTGTGCTCGCACCTGCTTCATTGTCCCCTTGCACTTAGCACGCCTGCCATTATTTTGTTCCTTTTACATTGGCTTGTCTGTCTCTTCCACCAGAGGGGAGCTCCACAGCAACAGGGACCTGGACTTGCCTCATTCATCACTGCATTCCTGTCATGAAAGCAGTTGCTGAGATGAGTGAATGAGTGAATGGATGCATGAATGAGTGAATGAATGACATGTGATTGAATCTTGGAGTACCAATAGGATTTGGAGAAGTAGACAAGGCAGGAGGTGTGTATTCCAGGCACGAGTAGTAGTTTGTACAAAGGTAGACAGGCAAGAAAAAAAAAACGTAGAACATTCCTGAATCCACAAACACTAAGGTAGGCCGAGATCATCGCGCAGGGGAGCGGGGAAGTGAGGCTCAAATGGTAAGCAAACGCCAGCGGACAGGTGGCCTGTAAATCGCACTTGAATTTTCTCCCGTCCACAAAACGAAGCTTTAAAAATGTTTCAAGGAGAAGGCGAATAATATGACCAGTGGGTTTTTTTAAAGATCTCTCTGATGGACTTTCTCAGAAAGCCATTTCAGAATTGACTTTGACCAGGCCAGGCCCGTGCTCCAGACTCAGGGGTTGAGAGCTTCTGGAAGGGAGCGGCCACAGACAGCGGCGATGGGAGGCGAGAAGGGGCTACAGCCAAGGCCTGGAACCACCAACACACAAACGCAGTCAGTAAAGAATAAACGTCTGAAGAACAACAAGGATGGCCGGGGAAGAAAACAGGGAAGAACTGCGCTGTGGGAACGCAGGTGAGAAAACAGCTCTAGAAGAAAACATCAAGAGGGTCAAGCGAGATAAGGACTGAAGGAAGGTGCCCTGGATTCAGCCACCAACAGGTCAGGACCCCGGAGCAGCTTCGCTGGGAACAAACCCAGCGGGAACAGTGAACTCTCCAGCCCGATTGGGGATTGGACTTCGGACGGGCGTTCTAGAGAAGTCCTTTATGTCAACATACTTCCATTCAGGGTCTCCTCCAAGTCTGACCACCATGATGTCCTAGACCATGTGACCCTAAAGATTGCAGGGCCAGCCACTTCCTTAAAGGAAGGGGCGTGGAAGGAGCCCCATGGAGTGTGGGGAGTCCCGAGTTCCAGTCCTGTAGCTGCCACTTGTGAGGACCGTGGGCCTCAGTTTCCCCTGGGATGATGGATCTAGGTGAGCTCTACAATTGCTTTTGCGGACCCAGACTGCCCCCGCGCTCAGGTTCAAAGACAGTGGCACAGGTGGCCAGGTAGCCGCGTCCGCTGACTCGGGTCCCCTTACTGCCCCCACATAGGACTTTGGGTTCTCCCCCCGACCCAAGTGGGGAGCTCAGTTTTGATGGGAACAGAAACTGGGTTGAGAAAAGAGAATATTTACTTTTTCCACCTAATTAATGCCCAAGTAAATAGTGTGGTCCCATAAGTGGAGTCCTCGCCCTGCCGTCCTCCCTCCCGGGGCAGCCTGGAGCATTTCAGAAGGCCCCCACTGAGCACATGTCACACAAGACCCCAGATCCAACAACCGGGAGCCTCACTCACCAGCCTCATGCCACCATGAAACTTGCTGTCACCCTTGCCCTGGTCACTCTGCCTTTCTGCTGCAACCCTGGTGAGCAACCCTCTTCCCCAAACTGGGCTCGGGTACTCTCCCTGCCACCTAGTTCTGCTCAGGAGAGAAGCAGCTGTCTGTGCCCTCCGCTTAGATGCTGGGAGGGTCTGGGAATGCTGCCGCCCAGCCAGGAAGCTGGGGAGAGCCCTGAGGCTGTGAGGAAACCTGAAAAGGTTCCCATCTCCCATATCAACACCCTCAGAATGGAATAGACCAGAGGGAGGTATAGAGGAGATCCCACACAAACGCATGTCTTCAATGACCAACAGAAGAGGAATAATGAACTCCCCAAAGCCCAAGATGCCAAAAGACCTTGATGCAGCCTCCAGGTTTGGGGTTTGGGGTCTCCACCCGACGCTGGCAGCCATCGGGGCTGGAAAGAGCTGCAGAGCCTCATGACTCAAAAAAAAAACACAAAAAAAAACCCAACCCAAGGCAAGGTCTCCGATTCTGGACAGAGAGGATTATTCCGGAAAGTGGAGTTTTCTAAATATTTTTGTCCTCTGCAGAAAGGATTAGGAGTCTAAACCGTTACAGATG